CCCCAGTGAGGGCCCAGGGGCGTGGTCAGGGTTATAGCACTTGCCTACAATTTGTAAGGCAGTAGGTTCAATTTCCAGGAGCATGCGGTGCACATATACACATACACACACAAACACACGATGTACCATGGAGCAAAAGTGACTGGCTTTCTCCCTAGGGCTGTGGATCTTTGGGGGTACCCTGTCCCCACTCACTGCAGGTCTTTGATATCAATGAGGAAAAGGACCAGGAAGTTGCTGCTGTTTCTCTCCAGAGGGCATCCGTGGGAGTTCCGGCTCTGGGGAGTGGACAGAAAGGACCTGGGTTACAGCTGCCCGTGGATCTAGCCTCGTTCCATGTGCTATCCATTCACCCGGGGCCTCTCCCTGCCCCATCTCTGGAAAAGAACCCAGGGCTGTAGGCTTTACCCGAAGAAGACAAGCCCTGAACACCATATCAGCTCTCTCACCCCCTCTGATGCGCTCCACTCACCGAGTAGGAGTGAATGCTGCCAGATCGAACCCGACTCAAGCTGAACCCCACCTGATGGAAAAGAGAAAACAGTGAGGGGCTTCCAAAGCACCCTCGGTAGCAGAAGGGATGCAACCTAGCTCTGTTCTGCTTCAAGACAGGGACTCGCAGGCAGCCCTGGCTGGTAGGGCACTCACCTAGCTGCCCAGGTCGGGGTTGGACTCATGTCAATCCTACCGTCTCAGCATGTACCACCACTCGCGGCTCATCTCACGTACTGAACACCCATCATGTGCTAGATGTTCAGTGACCTGTCCCACCCCTGACTCCCAATGCTCATACAGAACACTTCCTCTGAACAGACTTGTTTAGTCCGATTGGTTTAACCCACCTACAATGTTAATGAGCAGGGTGGTGCATGCCGTTTCATGGGCTATGAAGACTGAGGCAGGAGGGGCTTGAATTTTAGGTGAACCTAGACTACATGAGACCCTGTCTCAAAACAAACTGTCAAAACGAGGCTGCCTGGGCACCCCTTTAGTCCCAGAGCTTGGCAGGTGGACCTCTGTGAGTTTGAGGCCAGCCTGGTCTACACAGTGAGTTCTAGGACAGTCAGAGCTACATAGTTGAGATCCTGTCTCAAATTCCACCCCTCCAAAAAAAAAGAAAGCCAGTTTAACTGGGCATGTATATCACACGTCTTCTACCAAGAGTACATCGCTGAAGGTGGGAGAGAGAAAAGTGTAAAAGCCAGAGGCTGGGGAGGACCAGAGAGAAACACCGCCTTCTGGATGCAGTAGACTGCTGCTTATAAACTCACAGCAGCTGCGCTTGTCTGCACAGGATCAAGCCAGCAGTCAGCATTTCAGCATGGAGGGAAGAGGGGTGCTTGAAGAGCTGATGGATGCTGGGGGAGGGAGAGCCAGTTTCCTTTAAGGGGATGGCCCCAGATAATAATAAAAAAAAAAAAAGGTCTGGGCACAGTGGCACAGCCAAGGCCGGCAGATCTCTGAGTCTGTGGCCAGCCTGGTCTACATAGTTCCGGGCCAGCTGGGGCTACATAGTGAGACCATGTCTTAAGAACACAGAAGACATGACATTGGGAGGAGTTTGGGAAGGTGAGGATGCATCTTGGAGGAGTTAGGGGGAGAAGTGGAGGGGTATGATCAAAATATATTATGTACATGTATAACATGTTAAACTCCAAAGGGCCTGAGGTGGGGTGGGGTGGCCCAGCTAGAACACCTGTGGGGATCTCCCAGTCTGGGGCTGGGTAACTTGATCCTCCTGCCTCAGCCGGCAGGGATGGTGAGGTGACTTGATCTGAACCCCAAACATCCAACTGCAGGAGACGCTGTATTCATTCCCAGGTGACAGGTGGAGAAACTGAGGCTCAAGAAGGCTATGGGGCTTGCCATAGATCACACGGGTAAGGGACAGATCTAGGATGGAATCCCAGAACCTGTGCACAGAGCCCTCCCGTGAGCCTCCTCACCCTTGGCTTCTCTTCTGTCTCTTGGAGGCCAAGGCGCAGCAGGCTCAGCTCCACTTCCAGGGACCCATTGGTGTAGAATCCGAAGCTGTTCAGTTGGATGTCAGCTCGCTTCTCCCCCTGCAGGAAACAAGACAGACAGTGGTGGCAAGGGCGCTTTCCCCCAGTCCAGCCCACTTCCCCGAGAGCCTCTGGACATTTTTATTTAGGGCACAAGCATGTGAGAAAGCCTTCCTGGGTGGCAGGGTTGTGGTGGCGGTAGTGGCATTTCCCTGCTTCAGTCCCAGGCAGGGACTGAGTGTCCAGGTGGTGAAACCCTGGCACCCCCATGGAAGGCCCCATATCGATGCGCACTACCCGAAGAGTGTTCTACACATGCCGGTGTGACCAGCTCCGACTCCACAGACAACTTTTCGATTCTATCTGGGCTGAATTTTCAAAGTAGTCCCCCACCCCCACCCCGCGCCATCGAAGTGAATTCCAGGAAGATCCTACCAGGTACCCCCTCCTCCCAGGATGTCCTATGGTTGTTACCAAGGGGCCCCGGGAATTTAAAGGGCCAGGAGTCAGGGGTCGCGGGAGATGGAGCCCCGCCCCCTAAGCCAGGCCAACCCATTGCGAGCACCGGGTGAGGGGGGACCGGGACGGGACCACTCGCGGCCTGCAGTGGGAGGTGCGGCCGCTCAATCGGAAGGAGCTATGGGGAGGGGACGGCGAGGCAAAGCCCGCGGGGCTCACTGTGAGCGCCAGCCGGTGAATGCGGCCTGAGCAGCCGCCCAGCATCAGCACCAGCAGCGACAAGCATCCCCATCCGCACTGCGCGGGGCTCCCGCCGCCGAGCCCCCTCCTCTCGCTCACTGCCATCTCTGGGGCTGCGACTGCCCCACGACACCGCCTCTGACGCCTGATAAGGCCCGCCTACATCTCAGCCAATCGTCGCACGACGTAGCCGAGTCACCCAATTATCAACTGAGATGCTTTTGATGGACAGAAGACCTTCCAAATGGGCGTGCTAAGTCTTTTCAGCCCCACTTTCATGCTCTCCAATCCCTAGTCAAATCGTCCCGGATACAGTTTGATGAACAGGACGACTCACCAATGATCTAGGAACCCATATCCGTTCCTTAAAGCCGACTGTCTTCTTCCACTCTTAACGGTCCAAGACTACATTACCCAGAATGCAGAGGAAGCAGATCCGCGCAACAAGGCACGCATAAACTACATTTCCCAGTATGCCCAGGGACGCACTTCCTCTCTCCCCCGCCCCCAGCCCGGGCCGTGGTTCCCGGCCAGAAGTAGAGCTTTTGGTAAACATAAGCATCTGTTGAGGCTTGCCCTGTTCCAACTTCCCTGGGCCGCCGAGAAGCCTAAAATTCTTGACCCTATGCTGACCTCTGATCCCAGGCTGAGTGCCACTGGAGGTCCCCACCTGCAGACCCCGCCCAGGCTTAACCCTTAGCACCAGCTGGGCCCTAAATTCAAACTGAAACCCTGATCTCGGCTCATTTCATTCCGATCCTAGGCACCTCAACTCCATCTTACACACCGCGTCCTCATCGTCTACCGAGCCCCCAGATCTGGAAGAGTCCCCGCTTCTGGACCCCTGTCGTAGTCTTCAGCTCTTAACTAGACTGCTGACCCTGGCGCTAAGCTTCCCACCCGGGTCGGATACCTGATTCCCATCCGGCCTCTGACTCCTCCTCCACCTCCTCCCCCACTGCCCCGCTCGGCTTTGCATCTGGGAGCTTAGCCCTGAAGCCGCCAGCAGGTGGGGCCAAGGCTCACGGGAGCCTCGGTTCTGGCGGGGTCTCCAGGGCATCTTTCCTCAAAAGTCCGGGCTGCCCCTTTCACTTCCAGCTAAAGCACCAGAAAGATATTTTGGCGTTTCTGCGGTAGCCGAGAAAGCACCTACGGCCCGGGCCTCTCCCTTTTCATCTGGGAGTCTCAAGGGAATTTACGAGGTGTGAGAGGACTTTTATGATTAGGAGGACCCGAACTTCTGAGCCTCAGGGTCCCAGAGTCTAAGGTGTGTGTGTGTGTGTGTGTGTGTGTGTGTGTGTGTGTGTGTGTGTGTGTGTGTGTAAAACACTACATGGGAATCTCGTGCGTAGTACTGATTGGGCCTCAGTGAAGGAGGCTGGGAAATGGGCAGTCAGGTGCAAGCGCGACCTGGTGTGTGTGTGTGTGTGTGTGTGTGTGTGTGTGTGTGT